AACTACATTCTATCTAAAAAAAGAAAAAAAAAAACGTGGGGCGCGCGCTGTTTTATTTTGGGCCAATTTTTTTTTTTTTTTTTTTTGGTTAGCGGCTTGCGTTGATGGGACATCATCATCATCATCATCATAATGATGCATTATCCTCATCCTCAATCCTCGAAATTGCTATATGGCAAACATATATAAAACACATATACGATAAATACATATACGCACACAGCTGCGGCAGTGGCATAATTATTGGATTCTCATCATCATCATATCCAAACAATATTCAGCTATCCAACCAACCAACCAACCAACGAAACTAACCAGAAAAAATATAGAAAAACGAGCTATCCATAATTATTTGCGAAATTAAATTTTTTTTTTGTTGTGTGTTTTCCATCCTTAGTTGTTGATTTTTTTTCGGATGATGTGTATTGATATTCGTTTGTTCATCATCATTGAAGATTTATTAAACCAGAAAATCAAAATATATACATCTATATAGTTTTGCATGCTGCGTGACACGTACCAGATAAATATATTGGTTTGTGTGATGACAATATCACATCGACAACCAAAAAATAATAAAATATCCATGGCGATCCATGTCGAACAACGATCGAGCCAGCTATACACAGCAGCAACACACACACCGACAACATAAAAAAAAAACATTCGAATCGAATGTTTTTTTTTTTTACCGAACTTTCTTCACTTTTGATGTTTGTTTTTTGTTTGTTCGTTGTTACGTTAATCATCAACATCACCCCATCATCATCATCATCATCATTCCATTGTTATCATCAACATTGTGTTATTTGACGAAAAAACTTTGCAAAAATAAAAAATATATTTGTTTGGTGTCAATCAATCAATCAATTTGACAAACGATTGATCAACAAACGGAATTTACGGCGCATAAACGCATACACCCACACTATTACCTCGATTTTTTGTTGATATTTTTTATCGAACTAGTCTGAAGAATATTCTCAATTTTGAGAATATTGAGATATTGATTGAATTATTTTGGATCTCATCATTTTTATCGATCATCATTTGATTTATTCTTGATTAAAAAAATTCAATTTTTTCAACTTGATACCATCATCCCTTTGATCAATCAAATAACCGTTAACACCCTGGATTCTATTCTTGATTCTTTCATGCTGTGTGTGTATGTGTATGTATGTGAATGCTGTTTCTGCTATGCATAAATTCATTCATTCATTCAATACAAACGAAACACCATAGAATAATTCTTGAATTCATTCAGCTATTTTGGCTGATTTGGATCGCTAGTGTGTTGGACTGCTGCTGCGCTTCATTTATAAACGGGCACAACAACNTGTGATGATGATGATGATATCACATCGTCAACCATAAAAAAATAGAAAAATATCCATGGCGATCCATGTCGAACAACGATCGAGCCAGCTATACACAGCAGCAACACACACACCGACAACATAAAAAAAAACATTCGAATCGAATGTTGTTTTTTTTACCGAACTTTCTTCATTTTTGATGTTTTTTTTTGTTCGTTGTTTCGTTAATCATCAACATTACCATCATTCCATTGTAATCATCATCAACATCGTGTTATTTGACGAAAAACTTTTCCCGTTCAAATTCGAATGTTTTTAAAATTTATCATATTTCTTTGCAAAGAAAACAAAATGTGTTTGGTGTCAATCAATCAATCAATCAATTCGACAAACGATTGATCAACAAACGGAATTTACAAGCGCATAAACGCATACACCCACTATTACCTCGATTTTTGTTGATATTTTTATCGAACTAGTCTGAAGAATATTCTCAATTTTAAGATATTGATTGAATTATTTGGATCTCATCATTTTTATCGATCATCATTCGATTTATTCTTGAAAAAAATTCAATTTTTTTTTAACTTGATATTGTATCGATACCATCATCGCTTTGATCAATCAAATAACCGTTAACACCCAGGATTCTATTCTTGATTCTTTCATGCTGTGTGTGTGTATGTGAATGTGGTTTCTGCTATGCATAAATTCATTCATTCATTCAATACAAACGAAACACCATAGAATAATTCTTGAATTCATTCAGCTATTTTGGCTGATTTGGATCGCTAGTGTGTTGGACTGCTGCTGCGCTTCATTTATAAACGGGCACAACAACAACACGGAATTATATTTCTTCTTCCTTTTCATTTCTATACTTCTGTTTTTTTTCTTGTTTCCCGACTCGATTCGAGTTCAGTGAATGTTTTTGATGTTGATGTTGATGATGTGGTTTGGTGATGAGAGAGGTGTATTCTATATGTAATTAAAAGTTTCAGCCATCACCATTGCTCAGCCATCTTTATTTTTTTTTCTTCATTCAATTTTATTCTATTCAACAAAAAAAAGTGATGAAACTGTTTTAAACCGATTCATTCACTATAAATTAAATAGTGCAATCAAAAAAATCATATCGAAAGTTTGATATTAGTTAAATTCTTACACATCTTGAAAGGTAATTTTTGTTTTGTTTCTTTGCTACAATTTTTTCTCAATAAAATTTTCAATTTTTGTTTCCAGAAGTGTATCTCATCAAATGTCAAATCTTTCATGATCAATTTCTAATCACACACAACCAAACACAAACAAAAAAAAGTGTTTCTCATCATCCAAATTCTAGTCAATAATAAAGAATTCTTGTTCCGATCATCCAACTTGTTTGATGATTTTAAACAACTAATCGGACTATAAATATTTTTTCAGTTGCAATATATGATTCATTCGTAACGATTGGTTCCTCCATTGAATAAAACAAAAAAAATCAATCACAATTTTGAACGATTGATTGATGGCAATAATATCATAATATATAACAGAAACATGCACACACATAATGTACAATTAAAATAATCATTATTAGATATGTAATTTGAAAACTTCAGAAGCAAAAAAAAAAATTCGATTTTCGAAGAAAAATTTTTTCATTAAAAAAAATAAAAATTTCCAAGTTCCGCTAGTTCGATCTCTCCCTTTCTCTCTCTCTCTCTCTCACAAACGTTCGAAAAATTAAATTTAACAAAACAAAAATGGCTACAAAATTATCAAATAATATTGAAAACGCTTCTTCTATTGGATCTTCATCACGTGATCATCATCATAATCATAATCATCATCCTCATAATCAACAACAACAACAACCAACACAAATAGCTGATGTTGATCTTCGTCATCATAAATTATTACAAAATTTTGTTACAATTTTAAAAATAAATAATGTACTTGAAGAATATCGATTGATTGTAAGACAAATACAGCAACAATGTTGTTGTAAACGAACTAGACAAACATGGGAACGTTTAAATATTCTTGAAACAAAATATAAAGAGCTTAATTCTGATTCGAATGTTGTTTCATTGAATCAACAACAACAACAACAACAACAATCACAACGTGCAACATCATCATTACCATTGAATTCAATTCGTCGAACATCAAATACTCAACAAATAAATAGTCATAATATGGATGATAATCATCATCTTAGTCATCATCATCATCATCAACAAAAATCATCGATAATTCGACGTGAATTAATGGAACAATCATCATCAGATCAGATTTCATCAAATAAAAAGATTAAATTACGTCATCAATCAATTAAAACAATACCGATTCGATCATCAAATAATGGTGATGATAATAATAATAATAATAATAATAGTCATTTTATTAAAGATCATCATCATCGATCATCAAATGGTTCGGATCATTTACAATCACCAACTAGTCAACAACAGGATACCACAAATAATTCAATGTTACGATCATTCATGGTCATTGATTCAGATGATGATGACGATGATGATGATGATGATGTAAATCTTATTGAAGAAGAAGAAATACTTGATGATGAAGAGGATGATGATGATGCAGAAGAAGAATTAGATATTGAAGAATATATGGCTTTATCAGAAATATTTGAAAAAGAAAATCCGGAAAAATTTATAAAAGAAATTGATAATAAAAATGATTTAATTTTGGGTAAGTTATTTTATTCACTGATTTTTTTCGATTCATAAAAATTTAATTTAATTTAATCTTATCAGTGGTAAGAGATGTAAACAGTAAAGAAATCATTTGCTATGAATGTACAGTTGGTAATCAATGTGGATTTCTATCACGTGATCGTACACGAATGGTATTACATATTGGCAAACATTATCAACAAGATGCTGAAGCTGAAGAAGCAATGGAAGAAGCGATGGAAGATGATGATGATGATGATGATGACGATGAAGATGTTAATAATAGACAAATGTCATTAAATAATTCTATACGACGTAATCATAATCGTAATAATGTTGTTAGACGAAAAAATTTAATCGATATATCAATCATTCCTGTCAATTCAGCCGATCCAATTACTACGACCACTCCGAATTCAACATCATCGAATTCTGATTCATCTATGACATTGTTACCATTAAATAGTTGTAAAGATCAAGAACAACAAGCATCGAAATTATCATCTTCAACATCGAAATATGTTAATAATCAACAACAACAACAACGATTAACAATAAATCAACCTTCCTCACAACTATCATCAAATCGAACGGCACTACAATCAACGGCAACCATATTAATACCGATCGCTACAACTTCAACAATTAATAACCGAACATTTTCGATAACACCAAGTAAACAATTATCATCATCATTACCTACAATAACAACGGCAATCAATACTAATCAACAATCTTCATCGATTAATCATTCAAGCCAAAAACCGATAAAATGTGAATGGGAAAATTGTACGTTTATGTGCGATCAGAATTATAAACTACGAACACATATACGTCAAGTACATGAAAAAGTACGGCCATATCTTTGTGATTGGCCTGGCTGTTTTGGTGCATATAAAACAAGATCAAATTTAGCAAGCCATCGTATGGTTCATACCGGTGAACGACCATTCATTTGTGATTTTCCTAAATGTGGTGCAAAATTTGCCCGAAAATATGATTGTGAACGACATCGCCGAATACATTCGGAAAAAATGTATCCATGTGAATGGCCAGGTTGTGGTAAACGATTATGCGATCCATATAATCTTGAACGACATATGATGGTACATAAAGGTGAACTACCGTATCGTTGTCCAATGTCGAATTGTGTTCGAGGTTTTCGTGAACTACGTTATCTTCGTGATCATATGGTTAATTGTCATAAATTTCTGCCGGATACTAATCAATTGCGAATGGCTTGTGCAACATCATCGTCATCATCATCATCATCATCATCATTAACATCATCACAATCTTCATCACGTTTAATGAACATTATTGGTTATAATCTTAATGAAAGTAGTGCCGGTAGTGCAGGATCGATATCCACACCAACATTTACTGCTGGTATCATAAATGATAATAGTAATTCAACGGGTAGTACAACAACAGCTACAATTGATAGTCCAGATACTAATAATGTTGTGGTTGCAACATCATTTGTAACGGCAATTGTTGCAAACAATAATAATAATGGTAATAATATTGTTGTAACTACACCTTCATCATCATCATCGTCATCATCAATAAACACTACCATGTCAATCAATAAATCAAACGAAATAAAAGAATCGATAAAATTGGATGAACAACAATCAGTGAATAGTGGCAATATGAATTTAGATTCAAAAAAATCTAACGCTAATGATGATCAACAAACAAAAGAAACAAATTCACAACAAACATCGCGAACAATATCGACAAGATCATCAAGTAAATTGAATGATGTTTCATCAAATTCGAATACAAATGATCATCATAAAACTGATGATGATGATGGTGGTGGTGATGAACAAAGCGATGATAAAACTGACAATGACGATGATGATGATGAAGAAAAAGAAAAAGTGGATACCAAAGTAAATACAATCAAAACGGAAGAGCCAGAATCACCGAAACACCAACTTGAACAACGTCAACGAACACCACCACCAACACCACCAACAACAAGACAAAAAGCAGCAGCTGCTGCTGCTTCTTCTTCAGCTGCTGTATCATCATTAACATCGAATAAACGTTCATCAAAACGTAATCGAAATTAATATGAAAATATTATAAACTTATATCTTTCAAACAAAAAAAAAACAATTCTAGTCAGTTCACAAACAAAAATTAAATAACCCAAATGTCAACTACAAGTTTTGACTATATAAAAATGACAAATAATAATCCATTGCTTATCCATTAAATAATAGGAACCATTTTTTTTTCAATTACCGCATCCACACTAATTATACAACAACAAAAAAAGCAATTTCATTTATCATTGATTATTCGATAATCTCACCTTTCATTTTTTTTTCTTTAAAAAATTATTCTCATCTTTCACACATAAAACAAAAATTTACAATTTGTTCAATAATTTACAAAATTCATACAAAATACGTAACACACCAACACTAAACATCCAAATACATTTTACAAATCCTGATACAAATTATGTAATGCAAGTACAAATCAAACAGAATTTCCCTGTGTAGTTCAATTTCATTCTTGTCGTTGTCGTTGTTGTTGTTGTTTGTTTTTGTTGTTGAAGAAAATGATTTTTTTTTTCGTTCATTTCGTTGTTATTTTTTTTCATTTTTTTCTTAAATTATTACCGATTTTATTCAAGTTTTGTTTCATTTCTTCTTCATTTTTGTTTTTTGTTTGATTTTATTATTTTTTTGTGAAAAATATTTATTTCATTGCTTGAGTGATATTCTTTTTGAATAGATTGAAAATCGATGTATCTCATTTTTCTTCTTTTGTTTTGTTTTTGTTTTTTTGTTTTTAACATTTCATTTTATTTATTATTTATAAATCAAAATTCTGCAATTCTTTTCAACCAATGATAAAACAAGTGGAAAAATAAAATAAAATAAAATTCAATAAAAATTAAAAATTCAATCAAATTCATTCGAATTCATTCGATTCAAAAAAAATAATCGATAGTTTCGTTCATCACCATTCGAATGATATTGATTTGGTGTAATTCGTTTTCTTTGGTTTCATTTTTTTTTCTTTCTCTCTTATCATCGTTGATTCGACTTATTTAGATAATAATTTTGTTGTTGTTATTTCATCAAGAAAGATTATTTAAAGTGGGTTAAGATTATCAATGTTATGTGTGTGTGTACATGTGATATATTTTCATTCGTATGAAATTGATTGATTGATTGATTGATTGATTTTTTTCTGATTCGACCGCTTTTTTATCCATTCAATGAATGAATGAATGAATTTGATTTGGTTGTTATTGTTGATTTCCAACAGAAAAAAAATAATAAATCTCTTCTTTGATAACCGAATTGCGGCTTTTGAATATTGATTTTTTTTTCTGTTTCACTTATTTTCTTTCGGTGATAAATATCATCAAAATACGATTAATGTGTGTGTGTATGTGTGTTAAAAATTTTTTGATCTTATTTCTAGTTATTAGATGATTCAATCATCATCACATTTGAAAAAAAAACATTAAGCATTTGTTTGTGTTGTTGTTGTTGGTCACCGGGGTTGGTTATTTTCCCGAATATTTTTGTTTTTCTTCTTGTTTTCCAAATTTTTCACTGGGTAATTAGGATAAATCAATCATTCTCAATCAATCAATCAATTAATAGTGTTGTTTTTGCAAACATATCACATATAGATACGTACATCATCATCATCATATTTGAAATGTTTGAATTCAAAAATGATAATAAGTACGGAAATTACATTTTACTAATTTGATAATAGAAACTGAAAATAGAACAAGAATTTTTTTTTTGTTAAATTCAAAGATTCCATGTGAAAATTGTTTCAAATTATCGTTTTTTTTCCAAATCAATTTCATCACACAATAGACATTCAACAAAATGGCAATCATTTCATCAAAATTCAAGGTATTCAATTCAGCTTTTTTAAAATCAATTTTCTGATTGTTAATTTGATGTTTGTTTTGTTTTTTTGCATTCAAAATTCGAAATAAACATCAGCGTCTAATCGATACAAATCGTTTTGCTTTATATACGGTATTTGCCGTATTAACTGGTGTATTTTTTGCACAAATAATCAAAGGCTATCTACATACTGGTCCAAATGGAAAAATTGATCATCAATTATTACGATATTTATCATTACCCGGTGTTATCTATATGCGTGCATTCATATTGATTATAGCACCATTATTAGTTACATCATTATCGTTAAGTTTTTTACCAATCAAATCGGAAAATCCATTCGATAAATTACGACGATTTAATGATCAAAAACAAAAACAACAACAACGACCAAAAAAAAAGATGGAAAAATTTGATGCACATAAATTAATTGTTGTTACATTTATTGTATTTGGTGCATTTTCATTACTTGCATCAATATTCGGTGCATGTCTTATGTTGACATTCGGTTCATTTGCATCACCATACAGTACTGATAATGATGATGATACTGATAGTGATGAATTTATTTCTTCAAACAATCAAACAATACCAAATGATTTAGATGAAAATATTCGTAATCAAAAACATTATATTATTCATAAATATTATCAACATGATACAGTTTATAATAGTTTTCTGTAAGTTTTACTCATTTGAATAACTTTTTAAAAAATTAAAATTTTATAATTTATTTAGAAATATATTTCCTGATAATATGATTACACCATTTTTTATGTCATCATATTCAAAAACAAAAATTCTATGGCCAGCAAATCTATCCATATTATTGGATCCAAATTATCATATTGAAACACAGAATGAAAAATTAATCAATTATAAAGCAAATATGTTATCACTTTGTATAATATCACTTTGTTTAGGTGTTATTCTACAGAAATTAGGTCCAGATCGTACAAAACGTATTCGTTCATTATTATATGAAGCCGATACAATTATTCATTATGTTATGCAATTTTTAATGAAGTTCGTAATAATTTGATTAAAGTTTTTTCAATTTTTATCTCATAAATGTCTTTCTTTAAAAATAGATTATTACCAATTGGAATGTTTTGTTGGATGTTTGCCGAATCATTAAAAATGGCTTCATTATCCGATATGGCTGTAAAATTAGCATATTTTTATTTGATTGTTGTCGGTGCATTTATGTTCTGGTTATTTGTTTTTTATCCTGTTGTTTATATAATATTTACTCGTGAAAATCCATTTAAATTATATAAAAATATTTTATCTGCTATTGTTATTGCATTTGGTTCATGTTCAAGTGCAATAACATTACCGGAAACAATGAGATGTATGAGAAAAAATTGTCAACTATCAAATCGTATATGTCAAACAGTTTTACCATTAGGTATGACATTACATATGAATGGTCCGGCAATGTATTTTCCTATGACAGCTATTTTTGTTGCATACATTAATCAAACACCTGTTGGATTTTATTCAGTCATTGTACTATGGTAAGTTTTTTCTTATTAATTAAAGATAATCTTATTTTAATAAGTAAAAAAAATAGTTTATTTGCCGTTATAATGTCGATGGGTGTTCCACCGGTTATCGGTACCGGTACAACAATGTTAAATCATATGGCTGTTGCATCGGTTTTAGGTGTTGATAATCCACAAGATATTCTTGCCTATGTTTTAGCATTTGAATGGATGATGTAAGTAAAAAATTTTTCTTCAAATTTGGATTTTAAATAATTTAATGTAATTTTATATGAACATTTGAAAAAAGGGAACGAATACGAACCAGTACGAATATAATTGGTGATTGTTTTGCAGCCAAATGTATTGAAAGAATATTAAATATTCAGGATGATGAAATGGATGATGAAAATTATTTGGAAGTTGAAAGTGAAGAAAAACTGTAAAAAAAACAAACAAACACCATTACATTATTAATCATTTATGTTCAAGCAACAACAATTCCACAGATAATTTATCCATTTATAATTCACACACACACATTTTGTTTTATCATCAAATATTTAGTCAAACATTCATTTTTCTACTTCTTCTTATTCATTCATTTATGTTATGTTAAACTTTTGTTTTCAATAAAATTAAAATTTCAAAAACGTATTTCCCAATTTCCTGCCATAGATGACAGCACTTTCGATATCGAATTGTATTATCCAATCAAAATCTGCCAAGTTGTATTACGTTTACTTTGGAATCCTTGTCGTCCTCCTCCTCCTCGTCATACAACCTGCAAAACAGACAGACCAGTGTATCGAGTATATTCTCGAATATTATACCAAACAGTTTTTTGATTCGATTCAACACTCGATTAATAACCGGCATTCTTGTTTTTCTCTCCATAACATTGCAATTTTATCGATCTTTTGATTTTGCTTTTTTAAAAAATAATATTTTCAACAAAAAAAATCATTCAAATTCCTTTGTTCCAAAGTTCCAGACACACGTGTGTGTGTGAGTGTTTCAAACACGTGTTATTTCAATCTAATTGCTGTCAATTTTCATTTGCCTAACAATTTTTTTCTGACACGTCATTATTACAACATTAAAAATTATTAATTTTAAATTTGTATTTTTGATTAGCAAACGAATAAATGAAATAACAATGTTATCATTTAAATGAATAAAACTTGTATGAGAATTTTATAAGTGTATAAATTGTTGTTTCTTCCAAATATTTTTTCAAAAAGAAATTATCCTGTAAACCAAAAAACAAAAATCTGTTAAATATGAAATTATTTTCATTAATACATCTATTTTTTGTGATATTGTTTTCACCTTTTATCATTCAAAATGGTATGTTATTTATTCAGTAAAAATCTTTTTAATAATTTTTATTTTATTTTTTCATATACTCAAGTCACATGTGTGGCAGTTATGTCGGTTGATCTTGGATCCGAATGGATGAAAGTTGCAATTGTTAGTCCAGGTGTGCCGATGGAAATCATATTGAATACTGATTCACAGAGAAAAACACCTTTAGTTGTTGCATTCCGTGATGGTGAACGTTATATTGGTGATTCAGCATTGAATGTTGGTATACGATTTCCAGAGAAAACATTTACACATTTTATAGATTTATTGGGTAAAAATCGTATCGATTCGATTGCCGTTCGTAAATATCTGGAAAGATTTCCATATCATAAGATTGTTGAAAATGAAAAAGATCAAACAATTGAATTTGTGATAAAAGATCAAGATCAAGAATTACGTTTTACGCCGGAAGAATTACTTGCAATGATGCTCACAAAAGCTAGACATTATGCTGAAGTTGCATCGTCATCATCATCACCAACTGGACAGGCCCAAATAATAACCGATTGTGTATTAACAGTTCCTCCATATTTTTCTCAAACCGAACGTCAAGCTCTAAGACATGCAGCTCAATTAGCTGGCTTAAAAGTTTTGCAATTGATCAATGTCAATTCAGCTTTTGCATTGAATTATGGAATATTTCGACGCAAAGATTTTAATACAACAAATCCGACAAATATATTATTCTATGATATGGGTGCCGGCTCAACACTTGCTACTATTTCTAGCTATCGATTAGTCAAAACAAAAGAACGTGGCTTTACTGAAACTGATCCACAATTGACAATCAGAGGTTCGATAATTATTATTGATTTCTTGAATATAAATTTAATTTATTTTTTTTGATTTTGTATCATCAACCTTAGGTGTTGCCTATGATCGTTATCTTGGTGGTTTTGAATTGCAATTACGTCTTCGTGATCATCTAGTAAAATTATTCGCTGAACAAAGTAAAAAAACTGTTGATGAAATTCGAAAGAATCATCGTGCAATGGCAAAATTATTGAAAGAAGCTGGTCGATTGAAAAAAGTTCTATCGGCTAATCAAGAACATAAAGCACAGGTGGAAAATGTAATGAATGATATTGATCTAAAAGCAATGGTTACTCGAGAACAATTCGAAACATTGGCATCGGATTTATTGAATGAACGTGTGATGAAACCTTTGGAAGAAGTTTTCAAAAATGCCGGTATGACATTAGATGAAATTGATTCATTTATTATTATTGGTGGTTCGACACGAGTTCCGAAAATTCAACAACAGTTAGAATCCTATTGGTCACGTGAGTTAAGTAAAAATATTAATGCTGATGAAGCCGGTGCATTAGGTGCTGCATATCAGGCTGCATATCTATCTAAAGGTAAAAATTTTTTGATTGATAACAAGTTTATCATTTTTAATCAATTAAAATCTTTGTTTTTGTTTCATTCATTTTTAGGTTTCAAAGTAAAAACATTTCATCTGAAAGATTGGAATCAATATCAGATCAATGTAGATTTTGAACGTGAAAATGATACGGATAAAAAAGATAAAAAAGTTGTATCACGTACATTGTTTGCACGTGGCAATACATTCCCGCAGAAAAAAGTTATTACATTCAATAAAAATCGTAATGATTTTGAATTTAAAGTTAACTATGTAGAACCGAATATTCCACAGGATAGTAAATCAAATATAATGAAAGTTTCATTAACAAATGTAGCTGAAATATTTGATAAATATACATTAAATTCTAGTGTTGAACCGAAAGGAATCAAAGTACATTTCCGTATGGATGAAAGTGGAATCCTAAAACTTGAAAGCAGTGAAGCTTCATTTGAAGTTGAATATGAAGAGATTATTGAAAAAGATAATTATGAACAGATCAGTAATCTTGTTGGTGATGCTATATCGAAATTTGGCAGCAAACTTTCAAGTCTTTTCAGTGGTAATGAGGTAAGTTATTTAATATCTGAAAATAAATAGATTCATTTTATAAATATATATTGTGCACCTCTACTGAGCTTTTTCATTTTTGTTTCCATTTTAATGGAATCCTATAGTAATGATAGAGTTCCAACTGGGTGCTAAATTAAACGTCATTTGCTTTTTAGAGTTGATATTTTTACTTATGGATTTTAAAGATCCTTACCATTTTAAATATCATAGTTTAAAAGCATACATTTCATTTTATTTATCCTATCATTTCTCAAACTGATGATGATGATAATTTCTTTTCTTTTTTCATTTCAACAGAATCTTTCGGCAAATGAAACAGAAAATGTTAATGGTACTGAATCAAAACCAGAACATGAAGAAACGGTTAAAGCAAATACAACAAATGATTTTGGATCAGAGGAAAAAATTTTGAACACTACTGAATCAAATCTAAACAATTTTACCGATACTACTAATAGTACTGGTAATAAGAATGAAAGTTTGAATGCTACCATAGAAATGATTCAAAATGTTACGGAAAAAAGTTTTCAAAAAGAGATTAAGAAAAAAATTGTCAAAGAAGAAATCATAACAAATGTTGAACAATTCGATGGCGATTTTCAATTATCAACCGAAACGATTTCTGCATCGCAAAAAAAATTGGATACATTGAACGAAAAGTTTGTATTATAATTTTTAACTTATGAAACTATTTCTAATTTTTTTTTCATTTTAATCAGAGAAAAAGATAAACTAAAACGTGATCAGATGAAAAATGCATTAGAATCGTTTATACATGAAACAAGAGATAAGTTAAATCAAGATGATTATAGTCAATCGGTTACCAATGATGAACGCGAAAGTATTGAAAAGGAATTAAGTGCCGTATCGGAATGGTTAGATTATGAATCGGATTCAGAACAGGCATTAGCGTTTGAAGAAAAATTAACCAAACTAACCGGACAGACAAAAGATCTATTTGAACGTGTACGTGAACATCGTGATCGACCAGAAGCGTTATCATCATTGAAAAATATGTTAGACATAGCCGATATGTTTCATACGAATGCTATGAATGTATCGAAAGATGAACAAATTTTTACCGGTGTTGAATTGTCTACATTGCGAAAATTGATTGATGATACGAAAACCTGGATGGATGAACAGGTACGTGAACAGGATTTGTTACCACGTACAGCGAATCCATCGTTGACAATTCGAATCATTGTGGAAAAAACAATGATAGTTGATCGCGAAGTAAAATACTTGCTTAACAAAGCTCGAATTACACCACCAAAGAAAAAACCAACAACAACAGCAACAACCGATTCCAATGAAGAAACGGAAAAAAATAACACTGAATCGAATAATGAAAAGGTATGTTTGTTTTATATTTCAAAATTAATTGATTCTAATTAAATTTCCATTGCAGAACGATACGATCATTAACGATGAAAAAATCCTGAAAGATTCTATGGATGAAAAAACAAAAGCAAATAGTGATGAAAAAATTTCCGAAGAATCAAATACAATTGTTGATAATGATGAACAGATTAAACCGGATAGGACAGACACTGATTCTGGTCATTCTAGTAAAACTGAATTGTAATATATGCACACACACAAAAAAAAATTATATTGATTGCTTATACATTCTTAAAAATAATAAAATTTTATAATTTATCAAATTACTATAAGACAGTATTTTATGAATTTTTTTACCGCTTCTTCGGCAATCAAATTACAAATTTTTTTGAATGAAAAACGTAATCATTGAGTATGACGCCATCTATCAATTGTCAATTGAATCGATGAAAATTTAATTTGTCGTTTTTTTTTCATTTCTTTTTATTATTAAAATTAAAAAAGTAATAATAAAAAAAATGATAACTACATTTGAAGAAGAAAAAATAAACGTTTTATAAAAAAGGTCATCATCATCATTATTATTATTATTCTCGAACTACTTTACGATATAATACACGTAATGGTTCATATAATGATTTTCCTTTATATTCAGCTTCGGTTATTGGTGGTATTTCAACATTTTCACATTTATCACGATCATAATCGGCACATACGATCGATGTCATTTCTAGACGAACTTTTTGTTGCATTTCACGCATATAATCGATATCATCTTTTGAACAAACTGATGGTCCTTTTGCTCGCATCGCTTTACCAACACATGGTATTGTTTGACGAATTTTGCTATTTTGTCGAATGGGAAAACAAAAATTGGTAAGGATAAAAATAAAGTAAAAAAAAATGTGAATGAAAAAGAATCAAAAGTCGTTACGGGAAAAAAACGAAACAATAATGTGTATACAACAACAAGACAAGACAAGACATGTTGGACATGTTCTTTTCTTTTCATAGTTGTCGTTGCCATTTTTCTTATAAATTTTTCTTTTCTGTCTATGGAATTTTATGGAATTTTATTTTTTTGCTCTTTGTGATAATATTCGTGAACGATGATGATGATGATGATGATGATGACGAAGTAGATTTACTAAGAAAAAGTCTAACAAAAAAAAATTTGTGAATGACATGTATCCCCAAATGGATTGCTGTCACTTGAATTCGTCGTATTCACTTTGCGATGAACATTCGCGAACAGGAAAACAAAAAAAGAAAGGGGCAAAGACTATTGTCTATCTATCTCTGTTTACACACACATAGATGCAATACAATTTGTTTAACATGATTTTTCATTTTCACTTACCAGCAAAGAATTCGTAAAATTTTATGTTTATCTTGAAGTTTATTTGCAGCAAATACTAATTTTTTATAATCACCAACACAACGATATGTATCATCAACAACCGAATTAGCACAGCTAACATGTCCAAGTAATTCTTTTTCATTGATTGATGATATTGGAATTGGAAACAGAAAAAAAATATATTTATCGATTAAGAAAATAGAAAAAGGAAAAAAATATATCACTTATTCATACACACACACACTAACTAACCTTTTTTACGTGCATTTGTACGACATAAACGTTTCATAACACGATTTGATCCTTCTAAAAGATGATTTAATATACGTTCTTCAAATGAATTATCCGAACAACGATTAATAAAATTTGTTGCACATTCTTCCGATCGTTTTAATTCATTACATTTATCATTTAATGCTGACATTGTTGTTGGAAATCCTTGAAATTTTTTCGAATCAGATTCCAATAGAAAACCAAGATGTAAACATTCTTGTACAGGTTTTTTTATATCACATTCGGATGATGTACGTAATGTCCATGTTGGGCCTGTTCAAATAAACAAATTTTTAAAAAATTTCAAATGATAATTTAGAAAAAAAAAACAAAATTTACCAATAATAGCCACTACTACTATCAACACAATGTTACGAATGAACATGATTTAATTTTAATTAGATAATTCTTCTCTTCTTTTTAAAAAATTTTCAAATTTTTTCAAATTTCTATTTAAAATTTTGTAACTAATGATGTTTCGAGAGTGAAAGAAAAAAAAAACGATTCAACTGACTATGAATTAGAGATTGGCTTTTTATACTGATTCAAGAAAGATAGAGGAAAGAACATTTTATTTAAAGCTTAAAAAGTAAGTAATTTATCAAATGCGTCCATCCGTTCTTTCCAAATCATTAATCACAGAAGGTCAGCAATCAAAAAAAAACGAAAAAAATTGATATTTTTTTTCTTCAATAATAAAAATTCTATCAAACATTCGTTGTTAGTTGTTTCTTCTTGATTGCACAGATTAAATGACAATATTTGCAATCATCTCTCTCACTCTTCAGTTCACAATAATTTTTACATTCGAATCTTACCTTTTTTTTCATTATCATGAACATGGACATAAAACTACGACGTCAATCAGGCAAACAAGAAAAATCTCAATTCAATCACATTTGGAATCAACAATCATCAATTAAAACATACGTCAGGTGTCTTTAGTGAATGTGATGTTTTTTTTTCTCGTGTTTATATTTATAGAATCAATTCTTTTTTTTTTGTTAATTTGATTTGATGATGGTGATGCAAAAATGAAAAACAAAATCTTAATTTCATTTTTTTTTTCTTTACTTTTCTGTTATTATTATGTAATTTTTCTTAAATTATTATCCAGCAAAAAAAACAAACATTGCATCCCGGTTTGAAGAGAGAGAAACACTGTTTTCATCGAATTTGATTGATTGCAATCGATAGCGATTAGATTATTATTATTATTATTCCTATTAGATTGAATCAGTGAGTTTGGCGATCAATCAATTTTAACAATCTTATCATCTAATCATCAATAGGGAAAAGATTATTATCACAAAAATATATATGTTTCAAGTGAACTAAACGCAATCGAATATAAATGAACATAAACGAAAAACGAAAAAAGAAAACCTGAATAATTAACCATAAGGGAAAGAAAAAAAAAATCTCAACAACAACATCTGATTGATTGATTCTTGATTCGATCATTGTTGTTGTTGTTGTTGTTGTACCCGAAGCTTTTCGGGTACAACAATCATTTCGTTTCATTGATACAATGAAGCATTTGAACATTTCATAATTTTTTTTTGCGTTTATATTATCAATACGAAGAAGAAGAAGAAAAAAAAAGGAAAATCGATCGATCCATATCGATCATTTTGAGCCACATCATATTTTTGCCCCTGACATCATCATCATCATTATACTTTTAATAGAAATTTAATTGTAATTTCTAATAGAATCCAACAAAAAAAATCTTGAATCCAAAATGAAGATGAAAAACTTGTGAATCGAGAAAGAGAAACAAAAAATATGAAGAGATTTTCTCAACAAAAAAAAAATTCAAACTGAAAAAAATATCTTCTTTTTTTTGCAAAATAATTCAACCATAAACATTTGAGATTCCCAAACATATGGGTCATCTTTATGTTGTTGTTGTTGTTGTTTTAGCTGATGATAATATTTATTCAAAAAAACCAGAAAAAATATTCTATCAAAAATCAATCTCCGCATCTGTCATCATCATCAATAATAATAATAATAATAATAACCGAATTCAAATATGGTTTTGCTTTCATCTAAAGACAACAACAACAACAACAAACCCGGAATAAATATTAGTTACTGTGTGTATAGAGTTACAGGAAACAAACCAAACCAATAAATTCCAATATTCTTTAGTTTCAAATGATAACATTCATCCATCCATCCAGAGTATATTAAATTATCATATTTTGTTTTTTGTTTTTGCTTTTTTCTATTTACAGTTATTTTGTTTGCTCCCCCCTGATAATATCATTATTCTTTTTGCATTTGATTCATGAATCATCATGATCTTACGGTTGAATTGTTGTTAGTGGAATGGATCAGTCACATACCCAAGCACACACAAACAGAGATGCACAGTGATTATTGACAAAATTATTTTTGCTGTTGTCCGATAATTTTTCATGCTATAATCATTTACAAACATTTTTTTGTTTTTGTTTTGTTTCTTATGGCTTTAATCAAATCGAAAATGTTTGGCTATTCCAAGATATTTCGAAGATGAAACAGAATTCATATTTGGTGTATTTGGTTTATCTTTGTATCTTTTTATTCGTATGGATATTTCAAGGTTTGAAAAATGATTGATTTTATTATGAATTTTTTGTTTTTGGTTTGAAATGAAAAAAAAACATGAAAAGATTTTATTTTATCCCTAAGTAAATCTACGAACGTACGTGTATGACCTATTTTACGAAATGAGAAAAAAAATGAATAAATATTTATTAACATTGATGATTATCAGTAAATCTTATTGATTTGGAAATAATAGATATATTTTTTTTAGAATAAATCATTTATACTGGTACAATAAATATTGATTATTGATCGTTGACAACGATCAATGAACAATTTTCCATCATCATCATCATCATGGTGATGCAATGAAACGAACGAAAAAACCTCAATGATGATGATGGTGGTAGTGGATTCAGGATCTAAATAAAATTGAATACAACAAACAACAAACAATTCAGTATTGCCAACATTTTGTTTTGTTTTGTTTTTTGTTTATTTTTGTTTTCTATTTCATTAATCTTAATTTATATAACAACAATAAGGAAAGATAACTTTTTTTTAAAACAAAAATGTTTACAGGTTTTGTCTATGGAAACCAAAGATTTTTAATTTTTTTTTCACTCAAATTTTTCATTGTTGTTTGGTGTATATTATGATTGTAATTGATGGAAAAAGTCAGCCAAAACAAGTGATGATCCAAAACAAGAGAGAGAAAAAAAAACATCCAAAACATTTTTTTTTCTCTGAAATTGATTAATTAAAAAAGACAATGGATGGCTGTTTTGTTTGGTGCCAAAATCGGAAAAAGGCTTGTCTGAAAAAAATGAACAAAAAACATCATACAGTACATGTTTTGATGAGACGCGGGCTGTCTTGGATAAAAATTTCAAAAATAAAAAAATTCTTTCAAAAATACCAAAAAAAGTGAAAATAAATCATAAAAAAGAGTTGTGGTTTTAATTTTTTTTTTTCAAAAAAGAATATTCTGAAAAGAAATTTTCCAGAAAAAAATTTGCGGGAAACAAGAAATGGGTTGTATACAAATCATCATCAATTATGATTTGGATGATGATGATGAAAACCAAAAACAAAAACAAAAACAAACAAAAAAAATGTGTGTATGTCACCATCATTGAAAAGAATTTCGAAAGTGAAAATTTGAAAAATTCATCAGAAAAAATCAATTTTTTTTGTCTTTTGAAACAAACAAATTCTTTGCACGCACGGTACAGATATTATCAGTTTAATTGGTCAGAATTGGTTAATTTTCGATTCAATCCTAAATCTTTCAATCCAATGATGATGGCAATACAAAAATTCGTAAAAAAATAAAGAAAATGATTATGATGATTATCATTATAATCAACAACAACAAGATCAAGATTGATTAGATTTCAACTATGGTTTGAGTTTGTACTGGAACTGATAATGGTTTTAAGACCGTAGGAAGATAAAATAATGGCAGAAAATGTCATCATTGCTGATGATGATGCTAATACCCAATTAACCAGATTTTCAGTATTCTATGAAAGAATTATTATTCTTTATATTTCATCATCATCATCATCCGTTAAATTATTGATATGAAAGCAAGAAAAGAGATTAACCAAACAAGTTTCGACAATAAAATGAAAACAAATTATTCATTTTTTTCACATTCATCTTATTCTACCCACCAAAAAAAATGATCAAGATGATTATGATGACAAAACTTTACATTGAAATGAAATATGTGTGAGAATTTGGCGAATTTGAGTTGAAAAAAAAACGAAAATGACTACAGAATCAATGTTTCAATGTTGGGTCTGATCTTCTTTTTCTGTGTATATAGATCAAATTGGAAATAATAACCGGAAAAAAATGCCAAACACACACACAGAAAAATTTGCATAATGTATATTTTTTTTTACTTGGAATTCTGTACGTGAATCAAGAATTCTACCTAAAAAAACGCACACACACACACAATGAAATTGAATGAATGATTAGATTAAATAAAAATATGGTGAAGAAAAAAAGTTTTTTTTTATATATTTTTGTTTTTTCATCGTGATTTATGTGAATCCTGGAAATGTTTTTTTTCATTTTTGTTCATTTTCATTTTCGATTTGTGAATATAAAATTTTTTCTGTGCAGGTTGTTATTGTCATCATCAGAATCAGCATAAACTGTAGATTTTCAAACGATTGTCATTCGAAGGTGGTGGTGGATTTTTTGTTTTTTTTTTCTTTTCCCGAATCTTTTCCTGAATTCTGGCATCAGGAAGATGCCTTTATTTGATGATGATTACTGATTTCTGATTTTTGATTCAGATGTTTTTTTTCTTGTTTGATTTGAAAATGGTAATTCATAGACATCAGAATATTATGTTGTGGCTTGTAATTTTATTTTTCGAGAAAGAAGAAAATTCTGTTTATTTTATTGAATTTTTTTCCCTTGTCGTTGTTGTTGTTTCCAAAAAACAACAACAAGGGAAAAAATGGGAATTGAAGGATGAAAAAAAGATGAAAAATCATTTTGTTTTTCTTTTCAACTGATTTGAAATATGTTTCGTAACTGTTTGTTGTTACACTTGAATGTTTTTTTGTTGTTTTCGACACACTTTTCTGTTGGTGAAATATGAAATTTGTATAATTCACTGGAAACTCTTTCGTTTTATTCCAGACTTGCTTTCATAAGCTTGCTTTCACGAATGACGAATTTAAATATTCTATGGACAAACAGAGGGAAATTCAAGTGATTCAAAATTAAATTCTTGAGAATTTATGACATTTTTTTCTTTGGATTTTGATTTTGGTAATACGAGGGTTATTTCATGTTTGTTCGTTCGTCCATTTTAACCCACATAACATAGAAAAAAAATATTATCGATTTTACAGAAACAAAAAAGAAAAAATTACATGACAAAATTATTATGATGATCAACGAATTGTGAAAAAAATGGAAAATTTATTTTGA